TGCCGTCGCTCCCCGGCACAATCAGATGCCGGGGAGAAAGCGATGGTGGGAAGGGGAGCCTGGCGAACTGCGCATGCTCACACATGCGCAGTTCGGCCAGGAGCCGGGGATGCGCCGGCACAAGGACTCACCGGCGATCCCACAGCCAGCGTTGCTGCGGCCCTTCGAAAAGAACCACCTCGGTAGGTGGTTCTTTTTTGGTGCGGAGCATCGCTGGAAGGGCTGGATCAGGGACGGAGACGGTATGCTTCCCAGATGTTGCGGTGGGATCGCGCCCGTTTGCTCCGCCCCCGTTCCGTCCCGCTCCCGGCTCAAAAGGCCTCGTATGGACAGGACCTACATGTAGTATCCTGGTTCACCCTTAGGGAAAGGAGGAAAATCTCACTCCTATGGGTTGGATGGTAAACTGTGTCTTTACCTGATCCTAATTCCATCATCCTTACAAACTCTTAGTAAACACAGTGCCTGCTTGTAATACGTTGTGCCCACTTGAAAGTGCCACCTACTTTCTTGCACAGTTGCATGAAGGTCTCTGTACCTGCTCTGTCATGTTGCCTCTTTTGGAGGGTTGCATTGTAAATACATTTATTTGTTTATTAAAATATATCCCACCTTTCCTTGTGGCTCAAGCTGACTTACGAATCATAATTAAAAATATTTCAGTTTAAAAACGACTAGTTATATTCAAATAAAAGTCCTGGCAAATAAAATGGCCTCATAGTGCCTCCTAAAATTTTTTAAACTCCCCCCCCCTCCACTCAGGGAGCCTGTTCCACAGAGTGGCAGTGGTGAAGGTAGAGGCTCTGGTTGATGGCAGGTAGGCCACCGTAAGTCAGGAAGCTGCCAGTAGGTGGCAGGTTGAACACTGAATTTGACATACAGGATGTGTGGAAGGAGACTTTCTTTACATATGCATGTCTTGGACTCTGAAACAAAATGGTAGCCAGCATAGATGCTTTAAGATGGGCAAGATATGTTCCCATTGGCTAGCTCCTGACAATAACCAGGCTGCCACATTCTGAACCAACTGAAGCTTCCGGGTTGTCTTCAAGGGCAGTCCAACCTAGAATTCATTATAGTAGCGCAACCGCAAGGTTACAAAAGCAGGCCCAGATCGACTGAATTTCAGAAGCCTGAGACCTGGATGCGCTCTTAGCCACTGTCTACCCCAACCTGCTTTTCAGACAGCAAGGTTGGGTTTGTGGGCACCCAGGCTCCTAACCTGCTTTGCAAATGACAACTCTGCTCTACGAGTGGATCCAGTCCCTCTAAAATATTACCCGTCCTGACAAACATCACCTCTGTCCTGTCTGGTTCTGCCTGCAAAATGGAGACATTTTCACTGATCTGTCTACAGTTTGGCAGGGAAAATCCCTTGAGGAAAGGATGCAATCCCTGAGGGATCTCTCTTGGCCTATGAGCATGACAGTAAAGGTTGGTCTAGAACATTTGGATAGTCATTTATATTGTTACTAGAACATAACATTTGCCTTCCATAGTGATGTTTGTTTAGTAAGACAGCAGTACATCATTCCTTCCCAAGTTTAATTAAAAGAGAAATGAGTTTGAGCCAGATGCTTTTAATAATCAGGCTAACATGGCATTTGAATGACAGATTGTTAACAATGTGTCACAAAGAATTTTTTCTCATTTATCTTCCTGATGCTAAATAAATAAATTACAGGGTAAATTTTGCAAAGCTGCTTGTGTGGCTTAATTCTAGAATGGTTTATCTTAAAACAGCAGGAAGAAACCAGACAATGGCCAGTTCATATTTGTTGAAAATATGCTGAAAATGCCAGGCAGAAGAAATAAACCAAGTTTGCTGTGTGCTTAGTTCAGTCAGTGCAAGAGCCAGAACTTTGGTACTTTGCGATCTCTGGCACTGTAAATAAACGAACATTATCAAGGCTATGGCCAAACTATTTGCTAAAATGGCAAGTAGAGTTTCTATCCCAGAGAAACCCTTTTCTCCACTCAAAACAGGTAAACTTTTGTGTCTTCCATAAAGAACTTAGCTTACATATTTGGAATCTAATTTTGCAAATCTGCAAAAATACAAGGAAGGAAAGGGAAATGGGCTAATAATGATTGTATGATCAGGGAACAGGTGGAGGCTAGGGGTGGTTATGGTTGCTTTCATGGAGCCTTGTGAACTATAGTGCCATGAGAAAAGTACATACTTCCACATTCCAGGATTGCCTTGACCCTGGGCCTGAAACCCATCTGCTATGCTGGCCCTGTGTCTGACACCGGGAGGCATCTGTGCATTGCTGTATGTTTGGTGTTACAAGTTCTGTATGTGCAGCTGAAATCCTACACCTAATCCGGGAAGTTTACTGTTCATACGGAGCCTACTTTCACCAAATGGGGCAAAACAGCAACAGGTGGATGCCCACTGGTTTTGAAAGCAAGCGGGCATGGTGGTAAAATGTGCTCCCTCCCTGCCTCCCACTACAGCTAGGGTGGCCATTTTGTCCATATGGGCCCTGAATTGGTGGTTTGAAGAATCCAGGCCTGAAACCCATCTGCTATGCTGGCCCTGTGTCTGACACCGGGAGGCATCTGTGCATTGCTGTATGTTTGGTGTCACAAGTTCTGTATGTGCAGCTGAAATCCTACACCTAATCCAGGATTTTTACTGTTCATCTGGAGCCTACTTTCACCAAATGGGGCAAAACAGCAACAGGTGGATGCCCACTGGTTTTGAAAGCAAGCGGGCATGGTGGTAAAATGTGCTCCCTCCCCGCCTTCCACTACAGCTAGGGTGGCCATTTTGTCAACACATTTGCCAGCTTCCTACATGCAAATTTCTCATCTGCTTAACAGGGCTTCGATATAATAGATACTTTGTTTAAAGCTATAGTGTCTTGCACATTGCTTTCTAAATGAACAGTAAATCTGGTTCCCAACAACAACAAGAAGCACTTTTACACAATTGCTAGGTATTGGTTTCAAGGGCTGGGAAAAAATACTAGTAGGCAGAGAGATGCAAACCTCCGGAAAATATATTGCTGCTTTTTGAAAAAAGCAGAACACTGTGATTCTAGTTGAACAAGGCAAGGCAGATCATAATGAGAGCTGCCACTGTTGCATGTGCATTTCTTGTTAGTATTTATTTCCTTATATTTCTATACTGCTTTGACTCATTATTCAAAGCGGGTACCATAACAAGCAAATTATATCTGCCCTCTCCCCCTTATTCCCAATATGATTCCCTGTTGCTGACTGAATATTATAGTACTTCAGATTCACACCATGACCTTTTCTTTGCCACTGCCATGTTATCTTGAGCTTGGGCCTTCTACTTCGCTACTAAACAGCTATTAATAATCAGTGGGCCAATGAGCATGCTGCTGTTTCATCCATTCTACAGTACAATCCTATGCAAAGTTACAGCCAGTCAACATAGTGATGAGCATACATGATTTAAAAGGGGGGGGGCAGGGGTCATTTCCTGCCGGAGCGTGACAGAGCAGTGCTCCGACAGTAAGGAGCCTGGGGCGCCCCCCCCCCCCACCATTCCTGGCCCGCTTTTGTGGAGAAACTCGGGGGAGTAGGGGAGGATTTAAATTCCTTTCTTTCCCTTCCCCAGGGAGAGAAAGGCATTCTAGACATGCCTGCCCTTTGTCAGGAGGTGTGGCATATGCAAATGAGATATGCAAATGAGCTCGTGCACCTCTTTTTTATGAAAAGACAGATTTATGCAGGAGAGTTCCACCAATGGCTGCAAATCATTGTGATGAAAGGAAACCTCCATCTACTGAGGCAGCAAACCTCTGAATGGCAGTGCAAGGAGGCAGCATCAGGGGAAGGCCTCGGCCTCTGTTGTTGGCTCTTTAGGGCGACTGGTTGGCTGCAGCGTTAAGTATACTGGACTAGAGGACCACCGGTCTAATCCACTAGGCTCTGCCTATATTCTTATGTTATTCCAGTCTAAGCTTACTAAAATAAATGGGCTTAGACTGGAGGAGGCACATAGGATGGCACTGTTAATATGAAAGAGCAATCTTAAGGAGGTATGTTCAGAATCCTACTCATGTCTGTTCAGGGGGGCTTACTCTTAGAAAAGTGTTCTTCGGATGGCATTGTGAGTTTAATATCTTATTGGACTGTTCTAAAACTGAATGAACTGTCCTGAGAGCCCCTCGGGGGACAGAAGAACAGAATATAAATTAATACTAAATAAATGGTATTAATGGGCTTTTTTTTGATGTAACCATTCCTTGTATACTCATAGTAATGTAGTTCCAGAAGACATCATGAAGTAGCTTTTCTCTTTTGCCTTCAGTATTCTTAAGCTTTATAATTTTTTCTTTCAGCATTCGTTTTAAAGAAATCTTTCAATTGTGTACACTGCCCTTAGGCCATGTGCATTAAAAAGATGTAGATCTGTCATTTAAGGATAGCTTTTTATTTCTCTGATTATTGGTTCTCAAGGCACAGATGCCTGTATAGTTGTTGACAGATAACAGAGTATTGTATTACTCCAATAAAGGACCTATGCCAGCTACTGTTGTTTCTAAGTCTTCTGTCTAGCAATGTATGTTCCAGTATGGAACAATATTCACGTATAATGTGAAGGCTGGCCTTGCCATTCTATCTTTTCATTTAAAAAGACTCCGTTTCATTAAATGACGTTCTTCCAAATGTTCTTCAACTGATATAAATATATTTATGGCTGTTTTCTTTCATTTATGTACTACCACCCCTGTTCCTGGACAGGTTTGAAGATTTCCTTGCCCGGAAATGGTCGTCAGAGAAGCGCTTTGGTTTGGAAGGATGTGAAGTAATGATCCCTGCTCTAAAAACTATCATCGATAAATCTAGTGAAATGGGAATTGAGTATGTCATAATGGGCATGCCTCACAGGTAATTGCTCACCTGATTTAATGCAGCAGCAACAATCCTTAACAATCAACTCATTAGCATAATGTGACAAACCGTGCTAACTGATAACCTGATTTCGAGGTTGGATATAGAATGGAATTAGTGAGGTTGATGAAGTAAGGGTATGGCCGTGCTGAAACATAAGCTGTAATTACCAAGAATCCTCTGGGAGTTCTTAGACAGCCAGTATAAATTCCTTGTAATTAAAGTGGCAAGAGAGGCAGGCTTGATCCTTATTTTGTATCTGAAGTCCTGAGAATTCATGGGAGTTCCTGTTAGCATCTGAATGGCAGAATCAAGAAATGGAAGGATTGTGCAGGGAAGGACAGAATGGCTGCTCTTGGACATTGCTGAAAAGGAGTACCAGAGTTTAACTGTAGCTTATTTTGACATTTGAACGCTCTCAGGAAATTCAAATAGGAAAGGCAAGCATCTTTTACATAAATGCCTTACCTTTTTAAATATGATCTCTTGAGGACTGCTGTTGGGGCCACAGGTCAGATTTTTTGAGAAAGATGTTCCCAGTAGCTTACTGTCTTTGATTTCCGTGTCTTTGGTTTCCTGTGTGTTTTGGACTGCCCTGAACTGGATAGCCCAGGCTAGCCTGATCTCATCAGATCTTGGACGGGAAACTACCAAGAAAAAAAATGTTTCACTTCACTTGTTCATCTCAGTCTCTGGGTAACATTACTGACATTTCCCTGACTGAGATAGGACTCAGATCTCCATTCCGGCTCATATCTGATGAAGGGTGCTTTGTCTCTTGGAAGCTCACATTCTGAAAATCTCGTTGGTCTCTAAGGTGCTACTGGACTTAAATCTAGCTGTCATTTTTCCTGTCACCTCTTTCTGTAGGTGAAAAGTTCTTTTTCAAAAACTAGCCATAATAAACTTTTCCTTTCTTGCCTTCAGTCTTTATTTTAACATGCAATTAAAAATAATTTGCGGCTTGATGAGCAATCCTAAGTAGGTTTACTCAGAATCCTATTTAGGTCTATTCAGTGGGGTTTCTCCCTCATGGATGACGTGGCGAGGGGGCTTGCGTGGTTCGATGAGGCTGTGGGCTGTGCCGTGGAGGGCCACCCAGGACGGACACGCCACAGCAGGGAACTCAGACCAAGTGTGATCCACTGGTGAAGGAAATGGCAACCCACTCCAGTATCTTTGCCAAGAAAACCCCATGGACAGTATCAAAAGGCTAAAAGATATGACGCCGGAAGATGAGCCCCTCTGGTTGGAAGGTGTCCAATATGCTACTGGGGAAGAGCAGAGGGCAAGTACAAGTAACCCTAGAAAGAGTGAAGCGGCTGGGCCAAAGCCGAAAGGACGCTCAGTTGTGGATGTGTCTGATGGTGAAAGGAAAGTCCGATGCTGTAATGAACAATACTGCATAGGAACCTGGAATGTAAGATCTATGAATCAAGGTAAGCTTGACGCGGTCAGAAATGAGACTGTTCCCTGGAAGTCCAGATAATGAAACTAAAGCTCAAATACTTTGGCCACCCAATGAGAAGGGAGCACTCACTGGAGAAGACCCTGATGCTGGGAAAGATTGAAGGTCAAAGGAAACAGGGACGGCAAAGGATGAGATGGTTAGATAGTGTCATAGATGCAATGAACATGAAATTGAGCAAACTTCAGAGGACAGCAGACGACAGGAAGGCCTGGCATGATCTGGTCCATGGGGTCGCGAAGAGTCGGACTCCACTGTGCGATTGAACAACAACAAAAGCGGGGTTTACCCCTAGAAAAGTATTCCTTGGATTTCACTGGTAAACAGTTTCCTCCTACTAGTGTTTTCCTAGTATTTTTGTTCCCTGTTCCTTTGCCCTTTCCTATTTTTAGTTTTTAAGATGGTAAGCCACTTTGGACATTTTCATGGGATTAATGCATGGAGGCCGGCAATGGCAAACACTTCTGAATGTCCCTTGTTTTGAAAACCCTATGAAGTTTCTGTAAGTCAACAGCGACTTGTCAGCACTTTCCGCCACCAATCCCCACTGAACGGTCTTGGGTAGGATTTTCGGTACACCTGCTTAGGATTGCTTTTCTACTTTTTTTAAAAAAGTCTTTCCTGTACCTTAATGTGTTATATAAACTGGAAGGTTCATCTTTGTGACTTCTTTTTTTTTTGTTGGGAAAATTTACTTTCATTTTCCACTATAACAAAATTAAACATCATATCTCTTTCACACTCAGTTACAACTTATAATATCCATTACATCTTCCACATTTTACAACTTTTATATTGTACTAGCATAATTCAGTTTTAATTTATCTTTTTCATCTTCAGCCAGTCATAAAATAATTTCCATCTGTCCCAAAAAAGTTCCTCTGGTTTATTTTGTAGTGTTATATTTAACTTGTCCATTTCAGCTATTCCCATCACCATATTTTTGAGTTCTTCTATAGATGGTATTCTTTTAGATTTCCAACGTCTTGCTATCAGAATTCTGGCTGCCGTTAAAATATATACAATTATATGTGTATGTGATTTAATATCTTCCGGTAACATATTAAGTAGCCAAATTTCTAGCTCTAAGGGTATATTTATTTTTGTAATGTCTGGAGGATTTTAGCAATTTCCCCCCCAAATTTTTGAATTTTATCACACTTCCACCATATGTGGAGATATGATCCTACGTTCTTCCCACACCTCCAACACATTTTGCGACTTTAGTGGGTGTCCAATGCCACCTATACAACATTTTGTATACATTTTCTTTATATGGCGTGGCTCTCATAAATTTTAAGGATTTCTATGTTTTTGTCCATTGCATTGCTTCTACTGGATGTCCTATTTCTTTTATCCAAGCTAACATGGATGTCTTTATTGTTTGTTCTCGCAAAAAATCTTCTATTAATGTCATGTAGATTTTGTGACTTCTGTACAAGGCACATATGGGACTGCCTGAGGGCAGATCTGCCGCAGAGAAGTTTCTGGCAACTTCTGGAATTTATGACTAAGTGCTCTCCCCTCGGTAAGGAGGAGTTGCTGATTTTTCCTGCCCAAGGGTCATGTGATGGGGGGGAGCACTCTTCCCTCAGTCCCTATTCTGCCACCATGGAAGAAGGATGGTTAACAGCTTTGCTCTTACCTCAGAAGGTTGAAGAAAATATTTTTCTCTCCAACTTACCTCACTTCTTGATTTTATGCTACTGAGAATGGCTTTATTTAAAAAAATGTGTTGACTGTGGCACCAAAATGGCTACCAATGATCACCATACTCAATGCCTGATGTGCCTTGGTGAAGGGCATAATTCGGCAGCTTGTAAGGCTGCACCCTCTGTACCCCTAAGGCCTGACAAGAATGAGCCTTATGGTTAAAAACTGCCCTCTGGGCAAAATCTCTTGGGGTTCCAACACCAGATCCCCCTCTTAAACAAGCCAAAACTTCTTTGGTTGAATCAGGCCTTAACGATCATTTGAGATCCCGTCCAGAAGCCTCAGTATCTGAACTGCCAGCAAAAAAGGGCAAGAAAAATGTAAGGGCTCAACGTTGACAACTGATTGACCCCACAAAGTCAAACTTGTGCCTTCCTCGACTGCTTCAACCTCAAATGCACATCGTTGACAAAAAATCTCGCACATGTCGAAGTCAATCCTGAGACTATTCGACTCTGTCTCGACACTGTTGGGACCATTCACCATCGACCCCTCGAAGACAACATTTGCAGTCCCCGCCTCAATGATCTATGGCGGCAGAGCGACACTCACACTCCCTTCACCGATGCGAGTCTCATCGATTCCAAGACCACTCGTCACCGGAAGACGCAGCTGTTTTTAGGAGACCTTGTATTCCCTCCCTGGCACCACCGCCAAGAGAACATTACTCTTCAGACGATGACAATGATGGAGAACTCAGCTCATCTTTAACAGTCTCGATGTCACGGCAAACACCAGCTTTGAGCATTTTTCCATGGCAAATGCCTGACTGGAATTGCCCTTCTCACTGGAACCAGATGCCTCCCTGGTTCATACCTCCTTGGGTCCAGTGGGACCCTTCCAGAAGAGTCATAACCACCTCTGCAGAAACAATGCTGGTCCCACACGAAATCTCATTCAAGAGATAGTCAAAACACCTCTGCAGATTCTCCACCTCATTTACTGCAGCTTAAGACTTCTCAAAAGCACTCCTCTGATTTTGTAAAAAAATATTATTATTTTTTAATTATTAGAGGCATTTTATTACTCTTACCTTCATAAACAAAGATAGTTGAGGCCACTTATAAAAGAATTTAAAATACAGGAAAGTAAAAACACTGAACCACAGTTACCAATACAAGTCAGCAGCAAACAGCATCACACACCAACAGCAGGGCTCCAGATTTTTAGGGTTAATGGCTTCTACAACTTCCTACTATACGACATGCAAGGCTGTATACAAAACTGGCTCTTACGAAACTTTAGAATGGGGGTTAATTCCAAATGGAAACAGTTGTCCATCCCCAGACTGATAATTAAATCCTTGGCTTGGTGGTCATCTAACTCCAACCTCCAGGAGGGAATGCTGCTACCCCTGGTGGTTCCCAACCTACATATGTATACAGATGTTTCCCTATAGGGCTGGGAAGCTCACTGTGGCCTGCTTTCCATTAACGGTCTATGGACCGCAGCTGAGTCTGAACTCCACATTAACATTTTAAAGATAAGAACAGTTAGATATGCTTTTTCTTCTTTTGCAGGTCTTGTTCATCAGAAGACCTTGCTGATCTCCACCAACAATTTGGCCACCAAATTCTATCTAAACAAGCAAGGGGGGGATGGGTTCCCCAAGGCTGTGCAGAGAGGCCACCCTCCTGTGGGGCTACGCGATCACAAACAAACCCACTTATTTGCTGTACATATCTCTGGTCAGTTTGCTAATCTCCCATGTTGCACTGCACAGAAGACACGGAGATGAAAACGCGGTTGCACTTCCCTGTAACCAATATTCATCGAGTGTCTTCTGCGCAGGCACACATCTCTCCCTCCTTCCCTGCTGTGGGTTTAAATTCTGACTCGGTTATCCACTGCAGTGGAAAGAGGACTGAGGGAAGAGTGCTCCCCCCTCCCCTTGTCTCATGACTTTTGGGTGGGAAAAATCAGCCACTCCTCCTCACCGAGGGGAGGGGGAGCACTTAGTTATTAAATTCTAGAAGTTGTTGGAAACTTCTCTGTGTCAGGCGTGTCCTCGGGCAGTCCCATCTGTGTCTGCACAGAAGACACTCGCTGAACATCAGTTACAGGTAAGTGCAACCATGTTTTCACTAGAGAGCGTATGATTTTGTTTCTTGATATTTGTTGATTGACCCTCTATATGTTTTTTGTTTTAAAAACCTTACCTCTAAGAGGAAGATTGAACGTCTTGGCCAATGTTATCCGCAAGGAACTGGAGCAAATCTTTTGCCAGTTTGACCCAAAGCTTGAAGCAGCAGATGAGGTGAGATACAGCAGGATATTGTTAGTTAACAGTCAATGCTAAATGTTCTGAGGAGTGTTCCTACATAGGAATTTTTTAATGCAGCTAAATTGCTTTCAATAGGAAAAAAAACCCTAGAATTCAGAATGTGTGTGATTCTTCTTCAGTCTAATGTGGATATATGAGGCACATCGCCTTTTGAGTTATTAATCTCCTCGCAGCATATACGCATCCTTTCACAGTTTCTTGTGCCTTAGGGATCGGGAGATGTAAAATACCATCTGGGGATGTACCATGAGAGGATCAACCGGGCAACCAATAAAAAGATCACCCTTTCCTTGGTGGCCAACCCGTCTCATTTAGAGGCAGTGGATCCTGTTGTACAAGGGAAGACCAAGGCTGAGCAGTTTTATCGAGGGGATACTGAAGGGAAGAAGGTGAAGTGGCCTGGATGATGCTTGGCTTCTGTTTTTGGCAGACCATTTTAAGGTGGGGTGAGAGGGTGCCAAGGTCCCCAACTCCTGTGTAGCAAAGGGGCCAGCTGCCAAGTCCTGCTGGAATAGGTTTTGTGCATCCATACACTCCTGCTTTCCTCTGAAGATTGTGCAAGGGGGGGGGGTAGCTCACAGAGAACTGGATTTGGCCCAGATTGCTGTTCCCTTCATCAGAGCGATTTCAGTGAAGCTTCTGATTATTTGCCATTTGTATGACGTTCAGGGAAAAAACTGAGGATCTGTATTTATTTGAAACCTGCTGATAAGCTGTGTTTTTTTTGTTTTGTTTTTTAAACCACCCACTTCTTAGGTTATGTCTATACTTGTACACGGAGATGCTGCCTTTGCTGGACAAGGAGTGGTTTATGAAACCTTTCATCTCAGTGACCTCCCGTCATACACCACCAATGGCACCATTCATGTTGTGGTTAACAATCAGGTAAAAAGAATTTCAGAGATTAGGGCAACAGACAGGTGTCTCTCCTGTCTGTTGGTTTCATAATAACCTATGGAGAGGCCCCTGTGCTACTGTGCTGCCACATGGCTACAGGAAGGCCTGATGAGGAAGCCGTCTGAAAGAGGGCCAGTTCATCTGACAAGCAATGCAAGAAGCTGCTTGGGTTGCCAAAGCTTGAGGAGGGGAGTGGGGCAATGGCAGGGAAGAGGTGACAGGTGTGGCTGGCACTCATTTTCACCTAGGCCTGCCAGGTGAGCTCCAGCAGCATAGACATCACCACTAGGCTCCCCTTCACCTGGAGTCCTGGTCGCCAGCAGCATGGGAGGAGGCAAGCCAGCGTTGCCCCTCCCCCTGTTCCCTTTCTGACACTCAACGTCACTACTTGGGAGGAAAGCTAACTCCAGGAATGGGACCAGCACTACTGAGGCTTTCTGCCTTTCCTGCTGTCTATGGCATGGAAGTAGATGACAGGTATAAACTATTCCCTTTGCCACCCTGGCCCATGCCTCTCAGGATGAAGGTGAACTCCATGGTCCTAGAAGCATACCTTCCTCTCTTCATGTGGCAGTGCAGAAAGAGGTGACAGGAAGGCTACACAGATCACCTCCCCAGCTTGCATCAGCCTAAATGAAGAATTTGGAAATGTTTCCAAGAAAGAGTGGGGAAAGCTATGGGAAGGAAACAAGCAGTGTCTTAATGCTGTTCATGTAGGATTATTCTGCCCTTAGAATTCAAGATGTTTTATTACATTTGCCCAAATCGGGTACGAATTGCCATGAAATGACTGCAGTGCTTTATCTTCAGTTGGGGCACAATGCCATAGAGTCCACCTTCCAAAGCATCCACGTTCTCCAGGGGAACTGATCTCTGTAGTCTGGAGAGGAGCTGTAATTCCAGGGGATCCCCAGGTCCCACCTGGAGGCTGGCAACCCTAGTTAATGTACATTCATCGATGCAAATTTACACATGACTACTATATCTGTGTGTAATGTCACAAGATTTCAGGTCTCTGTAGATGTTAACAAGGAGCTGCGGTGGCTCAAGTGGTTAAGATGCTGAACTGCAGGCTATGGAAGGTCGGTAGTTCAGCAGTTCGAGACCCACGTTGCCGCATGACGGAGTGAGCTCCCGTTTCTAGTACCAGCTCCTGCCAACCTAGCAGTTCGAAAGCAAGAAATTGCCAGTAGATAAATAGGTACCACTTCAGTGGGAAGGTAACAGCGTTCCGTGCACCTTGGTGTTTAGTCATGCCGGCCACATGACCACGGAAACATCTTCGGACAGCGCTGGCTCTTCGGCTTGAAAACGGAGATGAGCACCGCAACCCTAGAGTCGGACTTGAGTGGCTTTCGAGCAAGAGAACCTTTACCTTTACCTTAAGTAAAACTTAAACTTCAGCTCTTAAATGGGGGGAGCCCAAAGCATACAAATAATTTGTAATGGCAGTATCTTGGGTTTTAGATTTATTTATTTATTTATTTACACACTTAGATTGGTTTCACTACTGATCCACGAATGGCACGTTCGTCTCCATATCCGACAGACGTTGCCCGGGTGGTCAATGCGCCTATATTCCACGTGAATGCGGATGACCCAGAAGCAGTGATGTATGTGTGCAACGTAGCTGCAGAGTGGAGAAACACTTTCAATAAAGATGTAGTTATTGATCTGGTAAGTCTTGTCCCTGTTCATTTTGGCTGAGGTGCAGCGGGACCTTCTGTGCGCACCCTTCACACTGCAACTCCTTATTTCCCCCCGAAAAGCCACTCTGGCAGACTTTCCAGACTAGTAAGCATTGCAGCACAAGGGGCAGCAGTGGGAAAGGAGAATCATCATAACCCTGTGCATACCCAGAAATATTTGAGGAATATGCACACATCGTTCTTTGGAGCTTTATCCTTGAATTCCTTCTGGAGTCGGTGGTAAACGTATTGGTACTTACTGAACATGGTACCATGATGTTCATTATAAGTTGCTGCTTTTCCTTAGCAGCATTTGGTTGACACTGCCCAAGGACAGGTCTTAATTTTACTCCATCTGGACTTTTTTTTGGGGGGGTGGAATGTAAGTTTCATCTGAATGGTAAGCAGTAGAATTTAAATTGGGACGTTTCTGCCTGTTTCCATTGCTGTCTTCCAGTTATGAAAGGTGGTGAAACAATGATTAAGAGAAACACCTCTGAGTGTCTGCACAGTACAACTTTTTCTTAATGGAAGCCAGGGTTAATGGCAGGGCTCCAGACCAGATTCCAATCACTGAAGCAGCTCATCGAGAATTAAACTTGCTACTAAGCACCAATGTTGTAGGAAATTCTAGAGAGGTTCGATCTTCAGAAAGAGAAGAAAATTGGCAGCTTAATAATGTGCAGCTTCACATCAGCTGACAATAAGACTTTTGTGTGTAGGTCTGTTACCGAAGACGAGGCCACAATGAAATGGATGAACCCATGTTCACCCAGCCTTTGATGTACAAGCAGATTCAGAAGCAGGTGCCTGTGCTGAAAAAGTATGCCGACAAGCTGATTGCTGATGGGACTGTAACACTGCAGGAGTTTGAGGTACAGCATGCCAGCAAAGCAGAGGGTCATTGGTAGATTTGGTTTCATATACAGCAGCACTATTTAATTAGTTTGATTTTTTTGTTCTTTTGATTGTTCTTTTTATACATAATTAAAATATGTTAGATGTTATTATTTGCATCTTTATATATTATTTTCCGGGAGAACTATAACAGTCTTGCACTGATTATCCCAGGATCTTCAGACATCAACTAAAGAATAAACACTGTATGTAGCTGATAGAAAGTCCAAATTGATTAGACCACAAATTTTGTTGCTACAGCAACCTTTTATCCTTTCCCTATGGCAGTTATCAACTCCTTTCTCACTGGCTTCACACTGTGATATACATGCTCCAAAGTACAAAGGCAAGACCATGTCCATTTCTCAAAATTCAGTCTTGGATGAAGGGGAGGGTCAATCTCTGTCTCCAGGCCATGTTTTTCAAAGCACATAGGATACCTCTGTAGTGCAGTGCAGTGCGAAATCACAGCTGAGATACCCACTCCCCAAACAAAGTTATTTTTTGTGTGCTTTCGAACTCATGAGATGACAGGGTTGTCAGTGCCCAGAAAAATTTGCTCTCCTTTATAAAAAGAAAACAAAAAATATAGACCTAAAGACTGGATAACTATAAGGAGACCAAAGCAAATTTAAAGAGAGTTGGTTTACATTTGTTGGTCATTCAAGACTGTCAACTGTATGTGATCTGCTGGGAAGATATTGTGGATGGAACCATGTAGTTACAGGTACAGGAATCCGCACTTCTTATTAATACTGTTTTAGCCATTGTAATCACAGGAGTTGCTGTTGATTATGATTGCCCACTTCATGTGTGAGTAGGCTCACATGGACAAAACAATTCCACAAGACCCTTAATCAGTCATAAAATTGAAAACGTTTTCTTAATTTTATGCTGTGATATAGGATAACGTTAAGAAAAACACTAATTGGGAGGATATTGTCTCTTTTTAAAAAGCTGTTTGCTATTATAAACAGCAGCCAATCTTCATCAATATTAAAAAATTATTCTGAAGTGGAAAACCATATCTCACTAAAACCATATTCACATAGCAACAATCCCAACTTGCAGGTTTTTGCTGTGCTGTTCTGCTTTGAGATACAGCTCCTCTCTGATGCTCATGTCATCCCTGTTCCTGATGCACATTTTTTTGGTTGTGGAGAATTTCTTTTTCAAGAAGAAAATGGTCAGTGTTTAAAAGAAAAAAGAGAGAGAGAGAATGACCAGCACATATAATAAAAAAGTCAAATTGCATTAGGCTAAAATTATGCTCTGAGGTGCAGATTTTAATCCCTTATTGCCTTAACAGATCTAACATCTTCACTTACTTCCTGCATTGCTGATTTTGTATTTTTCGTATTTCCCCTCCCTGCTCAACAGGAGGAGGTAGCAGACTATGACAAGATCTGTGAAGAAGCCTATGCTAGGTCCAAAGATAATAAAATTCTACATATTAAACACTGGCTTGATTCACCTTGGCCAGGTAAGAAGTGATATCGCAAATTTCACTGTGTGATATTTTCTACTGGTGCTCTTAACCAAAATCCTGCTTACTTTTTGCTTTAAGAATGATAAAAAGTATGGTTTGGGAAAAAACTAGTAGTAAGTCGTTATCTTATGGAACTCAAAGAGGCAGGGAGAAAAGGGGGATAAGGGGTGCTTGAAATATTCTCATGATAAAGTGTGATTTGCTGTTGTATCTGAACCAAACCTGTCACTATTTAGATATTAGGCAGTTGTATTCATAATTAATATCGCTTTTTTTGTAGCTGTACGCAAGTTTCTACAATCTTACTTCTTTTCCAGGTTTTTTCAATGTGGATGGAGAACCAAAGAGTATGACTTGTCCACCTACTGGCATCTCTGAAGGCATGCTGACGCACATTGGAAATGTAGCCAGCTCTGTTCCCCTGGAGGGCTTTAAAATCCATGGAGGTGAGAGGAATCCTTAGTTGGGGTGTGTGTTCAGTATATACTGAGCTGAGTAAATACCTTATTGGTATGTTTCAGATATTTATTCAGCCAAGTACAGATCAGAGAGCTGTATTTGACTATCAAAATAGCCATGCCCGAATAAAAGCCAATATTATTTGGCTTTTATTTGGGCACGGCAAGAAGACATTTAAAGAGATTGCCTTCTGAGTTCACTCGCCGAGTTGTGCTGCAGTGGTACAACTCAACGAGTGGATTCAGCAAGAATTTAAAATTTAAATTCCTTCTCCATTATATCCTATGGGGATGGTCCCCATAAGGTATAATGGAGCTGAATAAATGCAGGTTTCCTGAATATTTACCCGAATTCCAATACAAAACCAGTATTGTTATTCAGGAATATTTGGAATATCGATATTTTTCGGGTCCAATAGACCTGAATCAGAAAAAAAACAATTCTTTTTTGCTCTCCTCTAATCCTTAGTACTTACTGTGGTTGGAACTTTAACCTCTCTTGCCTTCTGGAAATGCAAAGATGACATGTTCAGGCCATGAAAAGATTAATAGTTGTACCTCTTCCAGTGGAGTCTTTCTCCCTGTCCTCAGTTCAGTGTGTTTTCTGTTGCCTGAACAGAAGATATTTTTCCCTTCATTCCCTCTCTTTTAAAATGAGTGCTAATATAGATACCGGAGAGAAAGCAGCGTGGTGTAGCCCGATCTCACCAGATCTCAAAAGCGTAAACAAGGCTGGTACTTGGAAGGGAGACCACCAAGGAAGATTCTGCAGAGGAAGGCCATGGCAAACCACCTCTGCCTTGAAAGCTCCTTGCTGGGGTTGACCTAAGTTGGTTATGACTTGACAGCACTTACACACACACAATGAGCACATAACATTAGCAGCTAGTGTGTGAACTTATAGGTTGGACTTTTCCTTCAAGCATATTAAACATTGGTACAAGCAATGTGAATAGGATTGCTAATTATCATTTTCAGGGCGATCTGAAGCACTCACTGTTTATTTTTAATCTTAAAAGTCTGGCATACATTTCACAAGAGACTAGGAGATTTCTGGCACTCGTATTGGTAGTAATGGTAATGTTAAGAGAGGTTAAGAGAGCAATCCTAATCAAGGCTACTCAGAAGTAAGCCTAATTTTCAAGGGGACTTACAGTCAGGAAAGTTTTCTTAGGATTGCTGCCTAACTTGAGGCTGAATATGCTCACAGTGACTGCACATGGCAGATACTGCCTCTCTTAGGATCTGTAGTTGTCTGATAGATGTTTGATGGCTTTATCATGTCCACTCGATATGCTGTGTTGTTAGCTCAGTTACATTTCTCCATTTTCTTCATTGGTATTCTTTGAAGGATGCGGTTTTCAAGTGGTGGCAGAGTGAAAATTTTCAGTTAGTTGAAAGAGCATCAGAAGTGAAAGATGGTTAGAGGCTGGAAAGAGGGAGTCCCTGAGGAGTTTAACTATCCATTACATATTTAATCCAGGAGTTCAGGGCAGTGTCCATGCTTCTCTCCTTCTCTCTTTGCTCCTCACAGCAACCTTCTGAGGTAGGTTAGGCTGTAATATCTGTTACAAATGCCACTGAAAATTATGAGTGGTGCTGGTGGCCACCATGTGTCTCTTTGTGCCAGACCTGACCTGTTGACTCTGTTGCCCAAATCATCTGAATTGGTTCATTCTCAGACCCCAATCCCTAAAGTTATGTGTGAGATTCCCTCACTCCCGATACTGTCTCCCTGCTGTCCACCATCCTACCACCAAAGAGGGCAACTGACCCACCAAGGTCCCCTCCCTTCCTTCCTCCCTCTATCTGTCCCTCCCTCCCACCTGGCCTCTCCATCTACCTGCTTCATCTGGTAGAGACGATAAAAGGACAGGGAAGCCTTTCCTGGCTCTTTCCCCTGCTGCGTGTCTCCCTGCCCTGCACCCTCCTAGAGATGTAAAATTTCCAGAAATTTTGAAGCAATAGAACCCCCCCCCCCCAAAAAACCCCGAAAAAAAACAACCTTTTGGGGGAAAATTGGAAAAAAGCAATATTAGTTCTCTTTACAGATTGGAAGTCACTTTGTTACTTTGGGAATATAAAATGCAGTGTGTATAAATTGACTTGGTATAAAAGTGCCATGTTTGATATATTAAAAGTACAGCTTATTCAGAAAATAATAACAAATTGTTTAGATTTTATTTTTTGTTACAAGTGGAACTACAAGGTCCTGTGGTATAAAGAACACCTGAACTATAAGGAACCTCTTGACAGTTTATGAGAGCAGGGGGCCCCTAATGAATTTATTTATTTATTTATTTATTTCAATTTATATCCTGCCTTGCCTGCACAGAACCAAACCAAAACCAAATAAACCATCAACATAACAAAACTAAGAACATTATTTTATCTCCTCTAATCCTCCTATTCCATAGTACAAACAGCTGAGAGGACAGAAACAGATCCACTAACTATACCGCCAAGATGAAGCCCTAGGGCTGTCAGGTCCCCGGGGGGGGGGCAGGGGATTGCCCACCCAAAGGGCCTCCAACCCGCCAGTCCAGATCAGGCCTGTGGGGGGAACCCCGCCCCCGAAGCACCCGGTTCGGTCCGACGTGCCCGGCGCGATGACGTCACCCGGAAGTGACATCATCACGCTGGGCATGTTGCCAGCCGATGCTCTAGAAATCAGCCTGGAAACTCTGTGGTACCAGGAATGTCCCAGACAGGGACCAACTCTCCCCCACTGTGCCAGGTAAGTGACTTGGCATCAGAGTGAAGCCCACAAGCAAAAAGGAAACTGAAACCTTTTTCCTTCTCTTGTGATAATGGCAGGGTCCCCTAGAGACAGAAATGCATCTTTCTTTTGCATTTGAAAATTGCATCCTCAGTATTTGAATTGTATTCCAGCATTTGCTTATCCTCAGTGAACAGGAATTTCACTGATTTGATACTAAGTATAAATAGTCTCGCATAAAAGTCTTCATGTTACATAAGTTTTTAGAAATAATATTGGAGGATTAAAAATATGGACCCCTTGTTATTAACATGTTATTTATCATTGTAAAAAAATACTCCATAATCCATTTCCCCCCATTTTTCAGGGGGAAAAGGCTTTGTAAAAAAAAAACAGGAAAAAACCAATTCCCCACCTATTTTTCTGTTGCTGTTTTTTCCCCCGGGCCTTCCCATCTCTGCTCCTTCCCCATACTGCTCAGGGCCGCTTCTTATCCTCTTGCATTCTGGCCTTCTCCGAATCAGCCTTTTCTGACCATGCCCCTCCCCACCTCTTCCTGGCTCCCTGCCTTATTCTTGGGTGTCAAAGCAATCTGCCTGGGTCGCAGCCACCTCCCTGTCCTGGCTTTCCTTGCACGGGTGAGTCTGGACCACAGCTGTCTTCAGCTTGGGCAGTTGGGGTGAGATCAAGTCAGGACCAGGCACTGGCTCCCAACATCCAGTTATGCTGCCTGAAGACAAACCTCCAGATGAGCTGATTGAATCAGCCTTTCTTTTATTTATTTTCCTTCCTTTGAGATTGATCAGCAGGGTTTGTTTCATGTAATTAAAATTCCCAAAAATCTATTATAGTAATCCTTTCAATTATGCATTATGAATGTTTTCTGCCCCAGTCGCATATAATTAACATAAATTTTCTTATTAAATGTAAATATCATTACTCATTCAAAAGTGTGTGGAGGAGGCTCATATACAAACTATATTCTAAAGTTCTGTAATCTGTTTCTAGGCGTTTTGATGTACAAGTATTTTAAGTGTGCACACATACTTGAACTGCTTAACAGTAACATGGTTAGCACAGTGAACCATCTGTTTGGCATTTTAGGGACTTCTATAAAATTCTTGAAATGTAAGAGGCACTTAAATGGCTATGAATGTATCATCCAGGCTAAAGTTTTGAATTGCTTCATTCATAAAATAAAATCAGTATTACTTATTTTATGAAATCACCAATGCCTTGCCAAAACCATTCAGCCTTTGCAAAATGTTTTGAATGGAGCGAAGACTCAGCCGTATTCATGAAGCAAGTGCCACTTATGCAGGTTTTTCATGAATAAGCAAGAGAGTTTGTTTCAGTCATGAAATTCCACAAAATAGGCAAGAGTTTGCTTGTTTTCATGAATGAAGCGAGGGAGGTGGTTAATTCATGATTGGGGCAGAAATTTTAAGCTCTGTTTTGGATTCATCATTCTTTTACTTATGAATGAAGCAGCTTCACTTAGTTCAACGTGTATATGCAAATGAAGTGTTTTAGATCAGAAAGTAATGCAAATATGTATGACTGAAAAGTGGTGATGGTATCAAGTGCTGTCGTTGCTGCCAACTTACGGCAACCTTGTAGGGTATGGGTGTCAAGCTCATTTGTTGTGAGGGCCACATCTGACTAAACGGGACTTTGTCAGGCCGGGCCATGTGTTTCTTTAAAATAAAACATCAAGAAGCAGCACAAGGATCACAGCGGAAACTAAAAATATAAACTAAAAATATAAACTAAAAATATAAATGCTCTGAGCACAGGACCAAGAGGAAAATATGAAGTGGCTGAGCATTGCAGGCTTCTCCCCACCCCACCCCCGTCTACTCAGAGTGAGAGTGGCCCCCCAGGGTCTCAGGGGTTTTTTTACAGGGTGGTTTGAGATAATAATTTTGATTGTCCTCTACAGCACTTGTTCTGCTATTCCATTGGAGCCCCACATTAGGAGTGTGTTTGTGTGTGTGTGTGTGTGTGTGTTAAAACTAATATTTCTCTGCAAAGCTGGAGTTCCTAGAGTTTGTAAAACTCTATATTTTAACTGTGATTGGTCCCAAACCTCCCCCCTGCCCTTAAAAGATGCCTGCCTAAAATGGAAAGGTGGGGGGATAGTGGGATTTGCCAATGCAATTTTTGAAATAAAATATCAAGTAGAAACACAAGGCATCAGAGCAGAAGGATGCCCCACAGCCCCTACCTGTGAGGAGGATGACAGGGGGGTAGAGAGGAACACACTGAAAGGCCAAGGGAGCTGGGAAGTCAGGCAGCCCCACCCTCTGCTCCCTGAACTCAGAGCAGCCCCTCCCTCTACTCCTTGCACTCAGAGACATCCCTGCCCTCAGCAGCAGCTCAAACTCAGAAAGGCGAGTACGGGCCGGGGAGGCAGGGAGAGAAGACAGCCTCACTCGTGGGCTGGATTAAAGCCCTGGGCGGGCTGGTTCTGGCCCATGGGCCATAGCTTTGACATCCCTGCTGTAGGGTTTTCAAGGCTAGAGAGGAGGAACAGAGGTGGTTTGCCATTGCCTGGCTCTGTGTAACAACAACCCTGGACTTCCTTGGTGGACTCCCATCCAGTTACTAACTAGGACTGACCCTGCTGAGCTTCTGAGGTCTGATAAAATTGGGCTAGCGGCCGATGCCGTCCAGGTCACTGATGACTGAAAAGTTGAGTAAAAACAAATAATCAGTTCAACTCGTCTATGGAAGAGTTAAGGCTGCGGTCTTAATTCCAGTTATGTGGAAATAAGTTCCACTGCAAGGACATTAAGTGTGTTAAGGCAAGCCAGAATTGATGATGTGTCGTTGAACACAGAGATGGAGAACAAGCTATTTTGGAAATAGGTGTGTGAGCGGAAGTGGATTGGAAATGCTGAGCTAATTGGGATCTAAGACAAAACCCCTTTGAATTTTGGCTTGACTCATAAATAGGTCATGTTCTGATCATCTGCCCTGCCTCCCCCCCTCCCTTAACTTTCAGCAGCAGTGATATGGTAAAAGGACAAGGCCATTTCTTGGGGTGTAGCATCTGAACACTCTTTTTTTAAAAAAAATAAATAATAATTTTCATTAAGAATTTTTACAAGTTATTTAGAAAAGGAAATGGGAATGCAAAGTTAAGGAAAACAAAAAAGGAAAAAGAAGACAGAAAGAAAAAGGGATGAAAAAAGGGGGGAAAATATCAAGAATATAAAGAAGTGACTTACATTATCCATCTCCCAGCACAGGTCATCCACTGGGGTGACCAAGGCTGTTTCAGTTCCATAGATAGGAAAAGTTATATGCTATGTTGAGGCAGGAGATGTGTTGTATGAACATTTAATTATGTAAGAAGCATAGGTGGACAGAGTAAATTATAAGGAGCTAGAGTGGAAATACAGCAGGAGTTTAGTTGTGTAAGTTTACTAAACTGGGGTCAGACAATAAGTGTCTGTCTTACAGCTGAATTTAGATGACTGGCTTGATGAAGTCATGTGCTATTAGCAGATGCAGCCAAGTCAGGGATTTTTTTTAAAGAGAAGTCAGAGATGTTTCCAGAAGGTTGTATTAGAAAGGCGGATCACACACACAAAATGTCCCACTTTCAATCCACTTTCAATGCATTTTACAACGGAATTTTACTGTGTGAACTAGCAAAATCCAGTTGGAAAGTACATTGAAAGCGGATTATTTCGGGTGTGTGATCGTAGCCTAAGTCTTCATTTTCTCATTCTCTTTTCATTTATGTTTCTTTGATGATCCTGCCTATTTGTTGAAACAAACACAGTTAATTCGGTATGACAAGTACTCGTGAGATACAGTTGCCCATTTACCTCTTTCTCCCCTGATTCTCTGTTTAGGGCTTTCTCGGATTTTGAAAGGTCGACTGGAAATGACAAATAATCGAGTTGTCGACTGGGCCTTGGGGGAGTACATGGCTTTTGGGTCTTTATTGAAAGAAGGTATCCATGTCCGGCTGAGCGGGCAGGATGTGGAAAGAGGCACTTTCAGGTGAGTTATATAATACAGCTGTCCATATGGTAGTGTCCTACAGATTCAAATTGTGAATTGAGCCTGAGGCTCTGTCAAAATTATAGGCTTATAAGCATGGAGCTGCGGTGGCTCAAGTGGTTAAGACGCTGAACTGCAGGCTGTGGAAGGTCAGTAGTTCAGCAGTTCGAGACCCGGGTGCCGCATGATGGAGTGAGCTCCCATCTCTAGTTCCAGCTCCTGCCAACCTAGCAGTTCGAAAGCAAGAAATTGCAAGTAAATAAATAGGTACCACTTCGGTGGGAAGGTAACAGCGTTCCATGCGCCTTGGTGTTTTGTCATGCTGGCCACATGACCACGGAAACGTCTTCGGACAGCGCTGGCTCTTCGGCTTTGAAACGGAGATGAGCACTGCAACCCTAGAGTCGGATTCGACTGGCTTTTGAGCAAGGGAACCTTTACCTTTAAGCATGGATCAGTGAGGACTTACAGGTGGGATCCCATTCCCCCATCAGTCCCCCTTCCCATACTATCTCTACTCTTCCTCTTTCCCATACCCCTGGTAACCACATGGATTAGAATGTAAGCACTGATCTATACACAATGCACAATGAATTGATAGAATTAAGTGGTAAAATTGAAAACCGCGCCAATTCAGATTGCCCCTGGGATATCATAGTCTGATTGTTTCAGAGGGTAGCCATATTGGCCTGCAGTGGAAGAGCTTAATCTGAGGCCAGCAAAATTTTGGGGTATTAGTGAAGGCTTGAGGGTTCAAATGAACGACACGACACACAGATCTGCAGAAGCTCTCTGATCCAGCCTGGACCAGCAGCATTTTATTAGAGCAGGCTCACCCTTTTTCCCTCCCCCCTGCCCCGTATATTGAAAAGCTACAAGCAGGCTTGTGAACTAGAAGAACAGGATGTGCTCTGCCCACACAGCTCACCATCTTATCTTTTACATGGAACACCGACTCTAGCCAAGTTACTTCTATCAGTGGACTCAGCAGATGTAACTGCGCACTACTGTCTAATCCCCCTGTGGGGACATAGAACTCCGGGCATGCCTCCAGAGATCCCCACATATTAGCCACTTATTGTCTAATCACCAGTTCTGTACATCTGCTGCTGCCATGTTTCTGTATGGTACTTTAGGGGTATTAGCTCTAGAGAGTCAAAGTTCATCCTTGTGGCTCCTGTGCAGTCCCATATGTATGTCTGCACAGAAGACCCACTCAGTGAACAACAGTTATTGGTAAGTGCAACTCTTTTTCCCCTTTGTATGATATTCCCATATCTTATACCCTGAAAATCTTATCAGTCTCCAAGGTGCTTACCGTACTCAAATCTAGCCCTCATATTTTGAGTGATCAACCATTTGGAAAGCTCCCTTCATATGCTAAACTAGTATGTTGGGGGGAAAACTACTTTAAAACTTTCTCCCCAGTGTCCTAGTTGACTAGGGAAGTGTGTTTGTGTGTGTGAAGTACTGTCAAGTTGCTTCTGACATATGGCGACCCTATGATTCATGACCTCCAAAATGGCCTACCCTTAACAGCTTTGTTCAGGCCTCGCAGACTGAGGACCATGGCTTCCTTGATTGACTCAATCTGCCTCTTGTTGGTCTTCCTCTTTTCCTGCTGCCTTCCACTTTTCCTAGCATTATTACCTTTTCCAGTGATTCTTGTCTCCGCATAATGTGACCCAAGAATGATAGCCTCAGTTTAGTCATGTTAACTTCTAGGGAGAGTTCAGGCTTGATTTGATCTAGAACCCACTTCTTTGTCTTTTGTAAAACTCTTCTCTGACACCACATTTTAAATGAATCAGCTTTCTCCCCTGTCTAACTTTCACACCCATACATAGTAATGGAGAATAGTATGGATTATCTTGATCTTGGCTGCCAGTGACACATCCTTGCCCTTAAGAATCTTTTCTATCCCCTTCACAGCTACCTTTCCCAATCTCAGTCTTCTGATTTCCTGGTTAAGAGGCATATGAGAGGGCATTTAAAAAAATAGATTTTCCTGCACCCTTGAGATATGAAGAAGGGCAGCCTAGAATTCTGCCACCTCATTTTGTGTAATGCGTAAAATGACTCTTGGGGAGTCTTCATAAGAAGAAGAGAGTAAACAAACAAACAAACAAAAATTCTATCTTAATTACCCTTCTATCATGGTGCTTTAATGCTTGACACTCTGGCCCCTGATTTTGTAGTTTTAACTACTTTCTGCTTAGAGCTGTGAGTGGTTTTTCCTAAGATGTGTTAGAACAGAACTGCTGCCTGCAGTTTGTTCAGCGTCGGCGGGTAGGCGCCACAGAATAGCTATTATCAGGGTAATAGCCCTTCTTTCTTCAGTGGTGGTAGAGCTTGAACATATTGGTGTGTTTCACTCAGTTAGTCTTGCTTAGGGAGTTAATGGATTACAGTAATTACTTCAGTCATCTCTGTTTTGATAATGTTCCTTGGTGCACCATTCTAATGCTGATTAATGGAGCTCCAGAGAGCTTTCAGCAGCGAACAAACGTGCGAGGGATGGGCAACGGGGTGTGTGCGTGTGTCGCAACTCTTACAAGCCAGGATCCTGAGAAGTGCTCAAGGAGGTGGAAGCCAGTGCACAATATGAAACTATACACAACTCAAGATGATGAGCAATACAGTTTCTCAGGTAATTATAATTTGAGAGAAAGCGGCCCCATTGTGTAATGGCTTCCACCATATTTTATGGAGTGTAGCTGCACGCCACTAAAAGCTTTATATATTGAACAACTCCATAGTTATCTGTAATGCCTGAGAGAAGGCACAAAAACTGAATACTTGGTGGTTAAAAAAAAAATTAAAGTTCTTAATCCATGTTGCCACTGTATTGGCAGAAGATGGCAATCTAGATTATTTTTTAGGTGCACCGAGCAATATCTTTGCTTTGTGAATACTGTTTAAAACTTAATTTTTACAAATATACAAAAAGGTATGGATTAGTGTGGAGCGGGGTGCCAAAATGAGGGCTTTGGGGGAAGTACCAAACAGTCAAATAAAAAAGGAAGAAGGTGAATTCAGCTGAGAGTTATAACAATGCAATCCTACAGTTGCACTGTTCTAGGTCCACGGAAGTCAATGTATTAAGAAGGGTGTAACCCTGTTTAGGATTGCACTGTGAATTTAGGAGGTGGTGGATGGAACTGGAAATCAGTCACTGCTTAGTATGCTTGTGATTGGTCAGTATGGGAAGCCGTGTGCCTGACTGGTGGAAGTTAGAAAATCCTGAGGTGGGGGTGAGATTGTGAGAGGTAACTGGGAAACTATGTTAGGGAAACTCTGTTACTGGAGTTGCCAAGGGAAGTATATGTGGTGGATACAAAAGTAACAGAAGTAAAAAGGTTACTGCATCTGCCCAGGGTATGTACAGGGAAAGTAGTTTGAGTTAATGTTGTCTTCTCTTGGGTTTTTTTTTCTTGGCTTAGTACACTTTCACTTCAAATTTGTTCTGTTCTTTAACTCTTAATAAACCCCTTTCCTGAGTCAATCCCGATGTTGATCCCTTGACTATATTAACTGCCCTGCCATATTGATATCTCCCAAGGTATACAAGAGAGTACCTCTGTGGAATTAAAAAAAGAAGCCTGAAGTGGTGGCAGTGCCCACAAATAGACCATACATCATAGGAAGGTGCTAGGAAGTGTGAACTGTGAACTAGAAAAACTCCAATTAAAATCTCTCCCCAATCATGAACTCATTTGGTAGCCTTCACTGTCTGTCAGCCTCAGTCCTCCATTTGCAATATGAGGATAATAATGGTGATCTACCTTACAAGAGAGCTGTGAAGATTATTGAGAAAAGGAAAGCCCTTATGGCACATAAGCACTCATGCTTTTTCTTTGAATATCTTAAAAATATGCTTCAAACAGTTACTTATTCCTAAAAATCTTTGTAGCCATCGTCACCATGTGCTCCATGACCAAGATGTGGACAAAAGGACCTGCGTACCCATGAATCACCTCTGGGAGCAGCAGGCCCCCTACACTGTGTGCAATAGTTCACTTTCAGAATATGGAGTCTTAGGTAAGTTTCATTAGTTTTTCCTTTGATTAGATAAATGAGTTGCAAAATTTAAGGTTGTATGGCTTTTTGGGTCAGGAGACAGTTGTGCTTTGAGTTGACCAGCATTTGAATGCAAGTTTTACATCTTTATTTCTGGAAATTATGCCCTTGCCTTTGGATCACTTAATGTAGACAGACTCTTCTATGCAGACTCTCTAAGATACAAATTGAACTCCCTGTTCATTGGAAAGCATGGAGGCCATGGCCCAGGGACAGAATTGCTTTGCATGTAAGATGTTCTGGGTTCAACACCTGGCATCTGTAATTAAAGAACCTTCAGTAGGTACTTTTTGGAAAGGTCTTTCTCTGCCTGAAACCCTGGAGAGCCACTGAGCTTGCTAAATGGTATAAGGCAGCTTCTTATGTGCGTATGTTCAACAGTTGTTACTGTGATCTGAATGTATGTGTTTATTTATTTACAAAAATTGTTCTCCAACTTTCTACTGCATCTGTGCCACCAAACTGACTAACATTAGTTGTAAATGCAGCATGTAGTCACCTTATGCATCATCACAAGTGGAATTTCTGTGAGTTCTTGAATATCATATCCTTTTGGGGGGTGGGGTACATAGTTCCAGTAGATATAAGTATTGTCCCCACACCTCTCACAGCCCCTAATGTTACCTTGGCACCCTGACAGATATACGGCACCTTATCCATGTTCAGGTCTAGCAAAAGAGTCTCCAAGGCCAGCTCCCTTGGGAACCAAAGTTATGGCTACTACAAGCATTCACTCAAAACACCCATACACTCCCCTCAGGAATTCCCTCCCCCCTAAATTATGGCAAGCAGTGAAGTGGAAGAAGGTGAAACGAAACTGAAGCTTGACAAGTATCTTAGCAGAGGAGAAATTAAAATGATCCAAAATGTTCTAAATATAACATCTTAG